AACTAATCTATATTAATCCAATACCCCCCTTAAGATGGGAGAAAAATGTTTTCGATGCCTAGCTTGGACAAGATGCTAAGAAAAGCATTACGAGGCAATGGCTTAGTGAATATGTCGGCCAACTGATGATGATTTCTGACATGAATTAACTTGAGTGCACCTCTTTCTACTTACTCCCTAACATAGTGAAGATCAATTTCTAGATGTTTGGTTCTTTCATGGTATGTAGGGTTGGTTGCAATGTGTATTCTTGCCTTGTTGTCACAGTACGCAGCTGCATATGGTGTGACAATATTGAAATCAGTTAATAAATTTCTCAACCAAGTAAGTTCAATAGAGACTGATGCTAAGGATATATATTTTGCTTCTGCTGAAGATTTGCTGATTGTCTTCTATCTCTTAGCCTTCCAGGAAATTAAGGAATTTCCTAAGAAAATACAAAAATTTATTGTTGATCTTCTGCTATCAATGCATGAACCCCAATCAACATCCACAAAAGCATGTAGTTTAGTTCAGAGGTAGCTTTGAACTGGATGCCTTGACTAGCAATATGTTTTAAGTGTCGTAGAAGCACGTGAGCTGCATTCATGTGTTCAGAATGTGGATTTGATACAAACTGACTTAATTTGTGTACAATATAGCAAATGTGAGGTCGTGAAATTGTTAAACACAATAATCTTCTTACAAGCCTTCTGTATGATCCTTGATCTGCAAGTATATATATATATATAAGCATCAAATACCCTAAAAAGCATCAAATACTTGTACATATATACAATATATATCAATATACACTACTGAATACAAAATAATCTCATTGTTGGTCAAATGTCTCTATACAATTATACTACATCAGAGTAGTATACTTAGAACAAGTCATCTCAAGTATGATCATCTATCAACAAGTAAGTCATCTATGATAATTTTAATTTACTCTTATACTAAGTATGACTATTGCAATCAAATCAAAAGAGAAAAACAGGTAAACTTGTGAAAAAATCAAATAATAACATCATAAAAAAATTACAACTTCATCAATTAAGTACAACATGTTATTTTCCAACTTAAAATATAACCTCACTCACCACATTAATCACAACCTTCAATCATCAAATACAACTTACAACATGAACAATATTCACAACATAAACAACTTTAATCACAACATAACAAATTTAAGCAATTAATGTGTTGTCATGCTCATCAACTATATGGAGATTTTCTACAACTAGGGTGAACAATCTAATTGACTTGACCCTATCGAATCACTATGTCTGACCTATCTCAACCAGGTCATATCTCATATCTTGGAAGATATTGTGTGTTTATTGGTGGGAATCTCATATCTTGGAAGATATTGTGTGTTTATTGGTGGGAATCTCATATCTTGAAAGAGCAAGAAACAAAATATTGTGGCTCGACCTAGTGCAAAAGCAAAATACCGAGTTATGACCCGGCCCTAATTACTTGTGAACTTTTGTGGATTAAACAACTCTTCCAAGAGTTGAAATTTTGTGGAGATCAACAGATGAAATTATATTGTAATAATCAAGCAGTCCTCCACATTGCATCTAATCCAATGTTTCATGAGATAACCAAACATATAGAGATTGACTATCATTTTGTTCAAGAGAAGCTGCTGTCTAAGAAAATTGACACTAAATTTATCAACTTAAGTGATCAACTTGCAGATTATTTGTTGAGTAAATTTTTAAAAAAGACCTAAGATTCAGTTAATATATGTTCAAAGTTTGGTACATATAATTTATATACTCCAACTTAGAAGAAAGTGTTAAGCTAGAAGTTTCTACTACCTTTTATGCTCAACTTTTATAAAACTATTTTTAGTTATATCTAGTTGCAGCGAGATAGGTGTCACTATCTTTTTATTCAACTTTTCTATTATATACTCATCTATCACATTTTATATATAATAGTAATACTAATCAATGAGAGAAGACTCATTGTTCTCTACCATATACGAAGACTTTCAACAAATAAACATTTATCCTATATACATTGTACCAACTAAAATATGTATTAGTTATTTTAATTGTGAAAATATACTTTTTAGAAGTTTTTAATGTGTTTATTTAAGGTTTTGAAAAAGAACTAAAATTTTGATTAATTTTAAAATATACCTTTTCCAACAAAAAGCTAAAATTATAATTAAAAGTACCCTGATATGATTTTTAGGATAATTATCATCTATATCTATATTAATAATAAAAGAGATTTTTTTTTAAAGGTGTATATTTTTATCTTTCTCATTTTATCTTTAATAATTATAAGTAACATTATAAACTATTATGATAGATATTTGATATTTTCTCTCTTTTTAATGAAAGTATGTAGTGTTTTTTTTTTCATTAACAAAAATAAATAAACTCATCATACATTACAGTAGAAATATAGTACATATTATTTATTTTTATATTTCTTTTTTGTAAAAACTACCGAAAATGTCATGATCCTCTCATGTTAGAAACTACATGACAATGTTAAGATAAAAAAAAAAAAAAAAGAGACAAAATTATTATAGTAGGGCTCACCATTATTTATGTAGGGTCCATTATTTTTGTTTTACTTTTTATTTTTTAGTTACAACCTTCTCGTGTTAATTATTCCCTCGAGATAATTTAAACCTAATTAATTAAAGAGTTTAATTGATAATGTTTTTGTTGTAACAAGTTTAACAGATAATATAATGTGAGGCTTAGTGTAAAAGTTTTAACATTTTCAAACAACAAAAATTATTATTTTAGATATAATTTTCAATTCAATTATAATCTATATTACTAAAGATTATCCTATTCAATGTGAATATGTTTTGGACAATTTTATCCTATACATAACTACTTCATAAATTACTTTTTCTCTTTCCACTATTTTTAAAAAATTATCCTTATAATTACAGTTATTCAAAAGTTGCTCAAACTCTAATTATTAATCACTCACTTTTATTTATTAATATATTTTAAAAACACACGAAAGTATGAAGTGTATATTTCACGTTGATTATTATAAAGTCAATAAATTTTTCTTACATAATAGTTTTTAGATTTTCAGTGCATGTACTATTTTTCTTCATTAAAACAACTTCTCAACATAAATAAAGTTTTTTTTAGATTTAGATATTCGTTAAAAAAATAAATACATAAGTGCTTTTTAGATTAAAAAAAAGATATATTTTGTTAAAAAAATTTAAATAAATTGACTCAAAATCTCTAAAAATGAAAGCATTTTTTTTTACATAAATTTAAAATCTTAAAACAAATGAGTCCTTAAACAATTATTACATAGGATTCTTAATATGAAAATTCACTTTTGGTACCATACCCAAACTCCAAAGGTACCAGAGTAACTCAAAAAGTAAATTTACTTTTTAATACTGGCCATGGTATCATTCATTCGATAAAACAAATGGTATCATAGAAAATAATAGAATCGTCTAATATATGATAATTAACATAAGATAATTGATATATGCATTTGATTTTCTGTGGAATAAGATAAATAATATAACAAAGAAAGATAAAAATATTATAATATAGTAATTCTTTGTATAACGCACATATAAATTGGGGTGAATATAAGAAGGTTCTTATTTGGGAAGCATGAGGCATTGATGATGACGTCCTTTACCCTTTTCCCTTTATTTTATGGTAAAGAGTAAAGACGAATATGAAGTTGTTTTAAGTCTTTTCCTTCACCCTCTCCCTCACACTTTTGTCTGTACTTACAAACACTTACTTTCTCTTTTCCTATCACAATGGCACCCACGGATTAATTCTTATAGGGACACGTGGAAAAATCTGATTGATTGTAAATTGTTTTTTTTGAAGACATCGATTCAGATGTGATGGATGTGGGCTTATGTCGTTCTAATAATTTACGTTCTTGTGGAGCACATTCAAACTTACGCCAACCCAGATGAGTGATTTTTCTTATTTGTTTTTGATACAAAAATATTGAGTGATTTTGTGCATTGGCATCTTTATATTCAAGCACAAAGTATTGCAAATGCAAACTTGTATGACTTAACATCTTGCATTGCAAATAGTTGGTTGTGAACTCTTGAGCAAACCAATCTGTTAGCATTGCTTAGTTGTTGCGTTTTGTAATGTTTCATTATCTGTGCTTCCTACTCTCTTCAAAGTTACCGACACATGATTGTTAAGATATATTATAGCATATAGGTACAGCAGAGCTGTATAAAATTTCTTTTCAGCTTTTTGTCTCATTTTTCCATCCAAGCTACAAGATGTGTGGTGACAAAAGCAAATGAGCAGTTCTTCGTGGCATTAGCATGTGCAAATTTGTTGCTGCTGTCAGAATTTTTGCAGAGCCACTGATGCAGAGAGCCATTTGGTCTATCTATCTCTGTCTCAAGAATTGAAATCCGTTATCATATTTACTGCCAGGTG